CTCAGTTTTTAAGAGTCTCTTATGCTTTGGCTCTCTCCCACTCTAACCTCTTTTTTTTTTTTCCCCTCCCCCTCCCCCATGGGTTTCTGTTAAGTTTCTCAGGATCCACATAAGAGTGAAGCCATATGGTATCTGTCTTTCTCTGTATGGCTTATTTCACTTAGCATCACACTCTCCAGTTCCATCCACGTTGCTACAAAAGGCCGTATTTCATTTTTTCTCATTGCCACGTAGTATTCCATTGTGTATATAAACCACAATTTCTTTATCCATTCATCAGTTGATGGACATTTAAGTAGCCACATTTATGAATCTTATCCTCTGTAATTTCTGTATTTCGTTGTAATTTGTGTCACTCCTAGCTTTTCCCATCTGACATCAAAAAGCATTTACCTATATTTGTTTTATTTATTTATGAATTAATTTTTTTAAATTTTATTTATTTTTGTATTTTAGAAAGAGAGCGTGTGTGTGCGAGCAGGGGAGAGAGACAGGGGGAGAGAAAGAGAGAATCTTAAGCAGGCTCCACACTCAGCATGGAGCCCAACGTGGGGCTCCATCTCAGGACCCTGAGATCATGACCTAAGCCAAAATCAAGATCAGACACTCAAGCGCCTGAGCCACCCAGACGCCCCTATGAATTTTTTATATTTAATTATTTGATCCTTCTGGATATGCTGTTAAGGACTGAGATAAATGTATTTTCTTCTCATGACTAATCAGGTGAACCAATAGCAATTCTTGAATCTTTCCTTCATCTATCAAACCAAGATACTATCTTATCTAAGACTCATTCAGTGAGGCATTATGCAATCATTTATTATGGTAGTTATAAATGATTATGCACCGCATGGAAAAATGCTCACCTTATAATTTTAACCATGATATTTTTATAGCTACATAAAATTATATCAACATATTGGCAAGGACAGGGAGAAGTAGAGAAAAAATAGACATATTTAAGGATGCTGATAGGGCTGTGGGTGATTCTTCTCTTTGATTTCTGTGAATATTTACGAAATTAAAAAAGCCCTGAAACTTTAAATGAACATAATATGGAGGGTAAGAAGAACTTTAAAAAGATAGCAAGCTGTTTTCTTGATTGAGCTTGAGACAAAAGCTTCGGTGAGGTAGCTTTTTGTTTTTTTCCTTTTTTTGGAGGTGATCTCAGAAGTAAGCTGAGGACAATGAGGGATACAGGTAAGAGAAACTGGAGGGTCCGGTGGGGGGGGGGGGGTCATTGTTTCAGGAAAGGCCAGACCCGAGGAGCTCTGCGTGTGAAAATCATGTCCTTTGGCCCTGTACCCTTGAGCGCTGAACTCCTTCCCTGCCTCAGCTAAGTGAGTAGACCTTCTGGAAGTCCCCCATGCAAAAGGAATCAAGGCCTCAAGTGTGTGGATCAGTGAGTCCAAATGCTCCCATCACCTTGCCCTGGCTAAAGGGACGCTGCCTCGACCAGGCAGGGGGGATACAGATCTCTGTGGTTACACACTTAGAACTGTAGAACAGTATCTGGCTGCAAGACTCCTCTGACCCCTGAGAATTCTGCAGTTTTTTAGAAACTGAATTCAGAGAACATTTGAATTCACCAGGCCCTGGGCCAGCCCTACCCTCGTGACAAATGTAAAGAGCATCACGAGAAGGAACACGGTTAGTCCTGGGTGCCATGGGGCCCCAATCTGGTGCGTACCCGGGAGGGTTAGGCAGGGCATGTCCTGGAGCCTGGGCTGTATATACCCCAGGGCTTACGTTCCTAACCGACAGGGCACTTCACTTCCACCTTCGTATCTCAGCTACCCCCCGCAATCCACTGGGTCCCAAAGGTGCTCTTAGACGAACAGGTACACAAGCATCAACACGTACCAAGGCAACCGGCACAGGACCCATCCACACGCACAGAGAGCCAGGATGTCACTGGAGGTCTTGGATTTGGGGGCACAGCACAACCACAGGCGGCCCCAAGTACCTCTTATAGCAGCTCTCCTTAAGTGCCTTCCCACCTGTCTGGCCACAAGAGCCCTGTCGAGGGGCGTCTCCCACACCGAGACCCTCACTGCGCTCCACCTGGCGCAGAAACTGGTGAGGTGGGCCGGTTGGGGGGGGGGGGGGGGGGGGGGGGGGGGG